AGTAATTGGTTCTGTTCGATTTTCCATGCTCAGCCTGTTCATAATTGTGAAGCCATGCCTTGGAGAAGCTGATCTGAAAATTATCAAGTAGAAATCACATCAAGTCAAGGAAAAAAAAGAATACTTTTTTTTGTCGTTGCATAGTTCTCCAAAATTATTTTTCTTTTCTCAGAGATACTATAAAAATCTAATTCTGTTGCCAAGGAAAGTACTATTGAGCTTCATAGTCTTTCATACAATCCTTTTTATTTTTTTCAAAACCCTATATTCTACTTGAGAAACGACAGAAGCACCACTGGTCTCACAATAGCTGCAGAGAGCATGCAGCAACTGTGACACTACCATTTGAGGTGCAATACTTTAGTCATAGCATTAATCATATATGCCTGTCCAGTTTTTGTTTCAAGCTATAAGGCCTACAAAACTTCTGAACAGGCAAGATGTAACTAAGTGCCACTTAATTCCAGATCACTGGCACCACGTTTTCCAACCACCATCTACTTGATAGTTTCCTGCTAGAGTAGAAAACAGCAATTAGTAAGATTCGGTCACGGGCAAAGAGCACAGTATTTTATTAATTTTAACGTTCAGCTAACAATTGAGAATGGTATTGAAAATCCTGTTTGGGACTTACATAAGTATGCACATCATTATGCTCGTTCATGGGGGGTTACACTTCAAGACAGTTAGATGATTTTTATTAATGTGAGCTGTTAACCCTATCACCACACAGACAGGAAACATTACTTTCAATGTTATGGCAATAAAGAAAATGACAATAGTTAAAATTTTGGTAACGTTGCCATCTCTGCTAATTGCCTGCTGGTGGACATCTCTACAAAATCCAAAGCACAGGGACCTACATTGGAGGGTAGGAAGCAACATGAAATTAAACACAAGTGGAACCCTTAACAAGAATCCTTGTTTGCAACAATCAGGACTTAAAAAAAAGAAAAAAACACCAGTCCATTTCCACTGGTATTAACTCAGTGGGAAGTCTGATTTTTGACTCTTCCTCAGAATTTGCAATTTGTGATAAAATCAACTCCAGTGAAAGGGCAGCATTACTTTACATTGTCGTAACAGTAATAAGAAGCGACAAAAACACCAGTAGACTCCAACCTGCAGTCTGTTAGCAATGTTTTTTTTCTCCATATGATTTTATGACATTGTTCAAAGCCACAGGACATAAAGTTAAAACTGATGGGGAGGGCCCTGTGTAATGTTGCTCACAGCTCACAACCTGTTCTGTATAGTTGCCTACATGGCAGGAAGGGTAGCTATCTCTGCCTGTAAATGGAAACTTCCTCAACCAACAAGAATAACGATAAAAGATCAGCAGATACTACAAGTGCCAGGTTACATGCTGTCACTTCTGGAGTTTTAAATCCAACATACCAGAGAAATACTACCTCTATTTTGCAGCACAGAACCAGCTACCTCTGCCTACTGCTAGTGCAGCCAGGGGCCAGTTCTTTAATTTTGTAGTGGTAATTATAACAGCATCTTATCTCACCTTTTCATTCTTTTCCGCTTACCTAAGAGAACCTTAGAAAAGTTATTCATTATTATTTCAACTGCTGGCACAAAAGAGGTCAAAAATATTAAAACTGGCTTTCCTACTTCACACAAAGCTCACAGTCTCTTGGGCCTCCCTGTCCATTTGTCACTTCACTTCACACACGCCTCTTGACCACTGCAAACAATCTTCTGCTTTCTCAGTTCTCCCACTGGATCCTCAAAAGCACGAACGTTGAAGGAGAAAATTTCTGCTTCAGTGTCCCATCCGAGCAGCTACTGCATGATCTGCTCATCAAGCCTTTTTCTGGTTTTAACTTCAGTGACATGGAAATGCTAGGGCACTACCTTGGCTGGGCACATACCCAAACATAGGGCATGCTTTTCAACAGAGCTAAATGGTAAAGTAAATGATCAAATAAAAGCTCTGAAAAGATACAGCCAGACCTGATGCAAAAAGCGAGCATTGAAAAAAAAAACTGCATGCTGGATGAAATACGTGCAAAAAAATAGTAATGGGAGACAAGAAATGTGAACTCCTAAATATGGAGCACAATACTTCAGAAATTCTACTATTCTTTTACTTTAAGGAGTATCATTATTTATTTCACTCTTTGTTTTTTGTTTGGACTCCTTAAAACTGCAAATGTCATGTTCTATTTAAGACAGCTGTGCAGATTCCTACGGTTCACCCATATCAAGATTTAGTCTTATCCACATAAACGGTGATGCCTACTTCCCTGTGTTTTCTTCCCTGCATTTCTTTGCCAGCATCAGTTTCTTTTCACCTTTGGGTATGAGGTGATTTTCCTTCACTCAGCCAGCTAGCTTTTCCACATCCACAGATCACTTTCAAATGTTAAAACACAGCGCTCTCACCTTGTGTAAACAAACAGCGTTCCCTCCACATCTGTCTTCTCCTGAACAAAAAGACATCAAAAGAAGTTGAAGACAGGGTTTGCCAAACCCAAGCAAGCCCCTTTTTTTCCTTTCTTTTACCAACCCTGAGAGCATCACACTTCCCAGCGAAGCCATGAAACAAGCCCCACAGCTCCATGGGATGGTGGCGAGTGAGCAGGGTTTGTGGGGCCAGTTTTGTGAGGAGTTGTGGATGGGATAAAGGCTGGACAATGTAGGAGGTGTGGATGGGATACAGGCTGGACGATGTATGATTGAACAGTGGGGCTGCTCTGCTGCCAGCCCCCAGGAGCAGCCAGCTGAGGGCACAGCACGTGTGTGGCAGCCAGCACCCAGCACCAACAGGTGCTGACCACCCCTGGAGGCACCCATGAAGGCCCCCAGCACCATTCCCCATCAGCAGGGCTTTTAACACACACACAGCCCCCTGGGGCACCCCGGGGTCCCTCCAGGACCCCTCACACCCCAACATGGCGGCCACCCCCTCACCCCCCCATGGCTGCGAGAGGGGCGGGGCCTCCCCCATAGCGGGCGTGGCCTCCCCTCGCCCCGCCCCTCGCCCCCCGGGGCTTGGGGTCCGGGGGCGGGGGGCTGTCCCCCGACGTACCCACTCGTTGGCGCGGTGCCCGAAGGTGTAGAGCGCCACCTGGCTGGCCACGTCCACGATGCTGCTGATGTAGGGGTCGTGCTGCCGCAGCGCCGCCAGGCTGATGTCCAGCCCCTTGCCCAGCAGGGCGGCCCCGGACACCGCCGCCGCCATCTTAACCCCCTGACAACAACACAGGGTTGCTGGGAGGCGCAGCTAATCCAGCGCCGAGGGGAGGGAGCGGAGCGGAGCTGCCTTCGCCCTCCTCCTCCTCCTCCTCCTCCTCTTCCTCCTCCTCCCGCCCCGCCCCGCCGCAATCGAGCGCCGAGCGCCTCGATTCGACGCGTTAGCCTGTGGGGGGAACACCTTTTAATAAATATATCTATTTACACACATATACATGTAACACAAGCACAGGGAAGCGTAAACAAGTGCGCCCCGGCACGGAGCTGCACAAGCTGCAGAGGAACAGATGGACAAGACCACGGGTCTAGGCACCATATTTTCCTGTCACACGTACACATTTACCATCAGTCTATCGATGCCAAGAGTTTACAGCGGGTATATCAGCTTCGTGTGGCGTGCAGATACACTTGATACGTACATTTATACATAAAGGACTTGCTTAAGAGTCCAGCCTGAACCCAGTGTGACAGGCAAATACTATTTCACCACACGACCCATGTAGCACTTACGGAAGGAGTTACCACCGTGTGTATGTGGAAGCAGCAGGGCAACATATTTCCCTCAGAGATGGCATAGCCTGAAGTACTAAAGGCCAAGGTAGCGGATGCTGTTTTGCTTGTTTGCAGTATCCCATACGTGGCATTTTTAAAAGGGCACTTTTGCACTCTAGGCCAGATAGAGGTTGTGGGATACAGCAAGTGAGCCCTGGCATCAGCTCCAAGAGCAACTGGGCCAGCCCAGATGTAAACACATACATAGTGTGAAAGTGGGGACAGAAGATAACTGAGAGGCAGCAAGCTTGGGCATTCACAGTACATAACGTAGGGATAGCGTGTCTCTTGAGTAGAGTCAGGAGTGGACATGTTCTCAGAGAGGACATGGAGAAAATGTTGTTCTCTGGGACCCAGTAGAGAATGCAGAGGTTTTGCTGCAGCCCAAAAGGCTGCTGAAAATTGTCTTCATAAGAATAAGGACCTACAGCTCACCTTACAAGTATATAGTGGGAGAAGAAAGCTCCTAACATACCCTCTTATAATAAGGTCTCACTCCTAGCTTGCCTTTTCTAAAGCCACGTTGTTTCAGCTGGGCCTCTAATGAAACACAGCTTTGGAGTTTGGAAGTTTTTAGGTGGGTTTGGTATACTTCTGGCAAGAAAAAGTCTCTCACAGTTCCATTGCAAAGCTCCAGCTGGCTTATCCTGTACCAGCAATGAAAATACATAGGCTTATGGTAGACAAGGGAAACTGTTGTCCTTGGTCTGGAAATGGACAGGGTAGGATGGCAAAAAGAGAAAAATATGTAAGTGGGGAAGATAATTCACATTGATCAAGTAGTGTACAGATGCAAATTTTTATTTTTATTTTTTCTTATTAAATAGTCATCTGTTACCAGTTTCCAGGCACTCATAACCACATTCCTCTTCATGTGAGCAAGAGAGCCTGACTGGGTCAAGTGCATCTCCTATGCCCTTCTCTTGACATATGAAGATTGCAGATGGTTCTGTTTCCTTGAACTCTGGGGATAAAACAAAGCAAAACAAAGCAAAACAAACACCTGTGAAGTTAAATATCTTGAAGTAAGCCTGACAAAAATTTTAGCTGTTTCCAGTATCCAGCTTGTGGCTTCTTTGGTACTGCCTTCCACCTGGATTACTTTCTGACATAGCTGGGCAGACAGCTCCCCAGCCCTGTGTTTTTAGTCAGCAAACCTGTCAAGCTTCTGATCATGCCTTTGTGTATTTTGTTGCACCGTGTGGTCCCTTCTACTGGTTCCAACTGCTTTACTGTGTAAATGAGCCATAATTACTCCTTTTATTTTGCCTGAAGTAAAGGTAATTAATAAAACCATTAGTTCTGGCATGCGTTATGGTATCACTTGATAGGGGACTTAAAAATGTTCAAATGAAACAAAATCTTGTTAAATAGAGAAAGATTGTGAATTCTCACTGCATCTAAAGCTAAGGACTTTTTAGCAAAAATGTCACAGGTTGAAAAGGTTGATTCTTTAAGCTGTAGTCATTTGCTTACAGTCAGTAATTCAGTAGTCCATAATAACTATCAAATCAAGTTAGAATGATTTTGCTGTAACTTGTTTATGAAACAAAGTCATTTTCTAGCTTTGAAAATGTCATAATTTCATGAAGTATATAATTAGAGTGTCACATTTTTGTCTCCCACCCACCTGGATAGTACTCAGTTAAAACAAACAAACAAAAAACTTTGATTTTGCCACGGTATAAAAGGGCTTTTGCGTAGGTAATATCCAAACAATTTTTAAGGCAAAAGCCACACAGCATGCTGTTCTTAAGGTCACTTTTAAGGATAAACATTAATATGTTTAGGTCAAACCTTTTTGCTATGATTTTTCAAATAGACTTTAAGCCTTTGCTTAAGGATCTATGCAACTGTAAGCACTAAGGCTTGCTTCCTACAGCGAATTATCGACATTGAGGGTGTGATTTCCCACGACTATCTTTGGTGGCACTGCTGGGCATACACCACCCCTGTCCCAGGTCCCAGCCATTCATTCCTGCTATTCTGGCACCTCCGTGTGGTACTGGCTTGAGTGTGTTTGTGGCCACAGCGTGAACCAGTCAGACCGGGGAAGTGAACTGATTGAAAAACAAGCCTTCATGCTGCTGCTGTGATCACAGCCTCGACTGACCGCTTTCCTGTCTGATCACATTCAGGCCTTCCTCTGAGCAGCAATTTTTAAAATAAACAGCAGGACATACTTGAGAAAATGTACTGTTGAGCACCTCATTTGCTCCACTTCCTCATCTCTAGCCCCGTTGGAGTTGTTATTGCACAGTAGTTGCCTTTTCCTTTTTATTCCTTCCCCAAGGCTGCTGTAATTTTTTCTCACTGTCTGGCAGCAACCCTGCTGCCCCCATGCTGGTGAGAAGGGTGCTAGAGGCAGCGTTGGTAGGCTCCTCTTCAGCATCAAGGACCACCTGAGGATCTTCCAGTGGATCTTCTTCGTACGGTGCTTTACAGCACGCTGTCTTGCTGGGAAAAGCAGGTGGCTCTTGTGGACACAGGCTGATCCCACAGCACTTGCTTACCCATGCTCCACGTACTGCTGGGGACTGTGCTCGCAGGCTCGCAGCTCCAGGTACCCCTCACACCTCGAAACCTAGTGTCCCTGTGGTTCACACTGGAGGCTGTCTGCACCTCTTCCCAGGCACAATAGAAAGGTACGGTCTTTTTACCTGGCATATATTACAGGCTCTCAGAAGCTAGCTCTTGAACGCTCCCCTCATGCTCAAGGGTTGAAATTTTTGGTTGTATTTTTAGACCACTTCTTAACTCCAAACCTAAATGGTTAAAGCAATTTGAGTCTTTTTGTTAGCAACATATTACTTCTTAAAAGTTCCTTAATGAGCATAGGGTGTGACTATGTAGTTTCATCTGGTGCAGTTATTCAAAAAATCCATCTCTAGATTAAAACTAAATCTGGTTACTTTCATTCAGATTCAAAACAACTCTCCCTCTGCCCCCAAATAAACCCCAGGCACATGTAAGCTATTAGCATGCACATCTGTGTTTGTAAGATTGATCCCTGGTGAAGTTTATGAGACCATCTTGAAATTTTCTGCAAAATGTTAGTCTACAGAAAAATGGGATCATATTCTTTGGCATTGTTGGTTTTGAAGTTTTGATATTATACATACTGTGCATGAAATAATTACCTATCACTTACTACAATTTTCAGTAGAAGGTTGGCTTCTTTTTTCTATGAAACTATGTTTTTACCAAAAAGCCTGTTTATTTCTTTGACTACGTTATTATTTTGCTAAGTTATTCTGTTACCTTATTGCCGTCCTGATAATCTGATTTTATCCATCAACTTCATTCTTTACACTGTTGATTGACCAAAATACCAATGAGGATAAAGCACACCTATTACACCCCATAGGTTAATAAGTTGTAACAGTATTCATATCTTACCTAAGAAAATACCTTTCCAACCACATCTTTGTGGTAATCACCATTTAATTTGGCAGAATCAGACACCTGTAGCTCTAAAAGGGTTATTTTCCAACCAGCTACAGAGAAGATGGTGTCATTTAATTAATTCCTAATATGAAAAGTTCCATTAGGTAATTACATTAAGCCAAGACCTCATTTTTACACCTCACCTGGCATAGGAGCTCTTGCCATATTAAAGAAATGGAGGCAGCACAAGGATATGCTCGTGTTGCTGCTGCTAGGAAGCTGGTAGTAAGCCTGAAGGAGTACTGGGGCTGGTCAGCAAGTTTATGAGAAGGGGAATGTGTCCTTAGCACCCAAGTATCTTTTTGTGAAAGTGTGCTGTGCATTTAAATTAGCTTTTTTGAGTTAACTGTTGAAAACAGAAGCTCTGAATTGCTATTACACATTTATAGTAGTATAGTATATATGCTGCTACATACATATATATGTAGCAGCAACAGCTGCTATACACGGAGCTGTTGCAGTATTACTTCATGGAGGGAAAATTATATTATTGTATTGTTGACTGGCAGAAATGTTTATATATTTTTCATGTTAATGAAGAATGTTGGTGCTTATTAAGAATTCCAATAAAGGATTTTGTTGCTTTTTTTAGAAGTAGTATGGGTGAATGAAGATAGTATTATAACAAATCTGTTCTAGCTCTCTAGAAGCCAATACAAATGGTTTTATAATCATGGATCCTTAAAGCTAAAATATTGAGCAGTAAGATAAGTTTTCTGCTTTGAGTATCCCTCATAGATTTCTGTGGATTTGGTAGCTGCTTGTGGTACTGATGCTACTAAAGATCTGCTCCTGCAGGTGGTAAGAGATTGTAAATGTTCCCTAAATGTATTTTCTGCATTTAAAATTAGGCTTAATACCTATTGTACACGTTTCATAATATGAGATCACCTAACCTATAACAGTGTGATTTTTCTACTTTTGTCTAACCGTTTGGGTGATCACTTTTATTTGGCTGGCATACATAAATGAGATGTTTTAAAGCAGGCTTCCTTTCAAATTGAAAATTATCTTTTTTTTTTTTTTTTTTTCTTTCATTAGGCAAGATCTACAATTACCTCTGTGCTTTAAATGCAACTACTTGCCTCTTAAAGTTAAGAATGTTTCACTGTGGTTTTATTTTTCCATTTTGATTGTTATTTGTGTTGATCTGGGATTGTGGATATGGGAAGAAAGGCCTGTGTAGAAAAAGGGATTCATGTTTGTGTAACTATACCAGAGGATAAAACTTGGTAACATTTGAAGTGTTTCTCTTGGAAACAATGAATGCAATCTATCCAGTTTTGTAGGAGGGATGGATCTGGGCAAAGGCAGCTTCCAGCAGGCATCCAATAGAAGATTTAAGCGCTTTGAATGAGATTTTTTGAAGTGGAAACTAAAGGTATTAGTGCCACAAAACTCCAGTGGGTATCTGAGTCTGGGCTTATTACACTTGTGTGAATTTGTTTCCCCTGGTGAATTCTGAGAGCTGTGAAGGTGTTTGGCAGTCCTTCTTCTACAATCTGGTTTTGTCATTTTCTAGTGACGCTGTGCTATGTCTTCTGTCAGATTGAATTTAGAGGCATATTACCTTGTGTGGCAGAAATGTGAACTAGAGATTTCTCAACAGAAAACTTCCATAGGAGTAGCAAGACCGGGTTTATTTCTTCCTCTTATTTTTCCTGCTGGTTTGTGCAAATGTCGATTTTATTATCATCCCAAATTAATCCTACAGCGTTCAGTTGAATTTGCTTGGTGGCATATACAGGAATTGCTGCGTCACTTAAATTGTAGTAAACCTAACAAGCCCAAAAGAGACTGAGGACGCCTCTGTTAGACTTCTCTCTCCTAACTCTCAGCCTTGCATCGTAAGGGAGATTGTCCCTTGACCAGCTTTCGGGCTGGACGGCCCCCAGCACGTCCTGGTGCCTGGGGCTGTTCCTCCCCAGGGGCAGGGCTCTGTGCTTCTCCTCGTGAGACTTGATGAGCTTTTGTCGGCCCACTTCTCCAGCCTGTTGAGGTCCCTCTGGGTGGCAACACGGCCTCCTTCTCCTCAGCTGCTCCTCACAGTTTTGACATCTGGAGGTGCACTTTGCCCCATTATGCAGGTCATTAACAAAGATGTTAAACACCTGTTAGACCATTAGAAAACACATTTGGTCCTTGTTCTGATTAATAGGATTTTTCTTCCTCTTTTGATGGAAAAACCAGAACATTTGTTCCTGAGTCTGAAAGAATCTTAGTCCTGAGCACAAAAGAGGGGGGGGAAAGGAAAAGTGAAGGGGTGGGAGGGAGGGGAAGTGTATGAGACAGATTAGCAAACTGGATTGTAAAGGAGAGAGCAGGATTAGAGGTAGAGCTGAGGTGGAGTGGACAGCAGGACTAGTGTGGGGGCAACAGTGCAGGAGGCTTGTGGCAGGGGGGAGACAAATGAGGAAGGAAATGCAAAGGACAGAGTTGGTAAAGATGTTGGGTTAAAAATAAATAAAAAAAAAAAAGGTAGGTTTAACGCTGAGTAGAGTAAGAGGGTTTTGGGGTCTAGATGGAATTAAATGCTGAGCACAAGGATGGGTAAACAACGTGTTGGCACTGCTGGAAGCTGCCCTTCTGCCATGACCATTTTTTAGGTCACTTTAATCACTGCTTGTGATATGACCTAGTTGGAAGCCGTTGCTGTTACAGAACAGGATGTATGGAGAGTCTCTCCTCGCTCAGAGCTGAGCAACCAGGAGACAGCTATCGCATCACGTATGTTTCTGTCTCTTTGTCTCTGAGTAGTTTCTGAGGGATACAGAACAGGCATTTTCTCTGCTGGCTTGAGGAGGAGACATAATTGTAGGAGGAGTTGGATCATTGAGAGAAATGTTGTAGTGATGACTGGGGGAGCACGTCAAAGGATAAAACCTGCTAGAAGGCCTCTCTGTCCTTCCTGCTACTTGGCAACACTAGCCACAAGATGTAGAAGCCCCCTGCACGATGCCAGGAGACAGTTCTGCATTTTTCAAATGTCATAGGGTCATTAATTCCAACTGATAAATAGCAGTTATATTATGTCCTAAAAGTAGCTGTGTATCAATTCAGACTGGAATTTGAAATGTGATTAAGGATGTAAGGGGAGAAAACGGTGAAAGATGCTATGTTTAACATCATATCCTGGTTATTACTTTTTGCAAAAATATATAAACCAAGTTGTTTGTCTGAGTTTTAATTAGTATAATTCCTGTTTTTAATCAAAAAAAGGTGTGGGGGTAGGGGCGTTAATTTTACCTGTCCTTAAAGCACATCAAGTAATGATACAAAGATTTCTCAAGTTTGGTTCCTTCTAGGACTTAAATATATTCATTAAGTCCACAAATGATGACTCCAACTTCATTTAATGTAACTAGTGTAAGATGGGTTGGCTTATGGGCTTTCTCTTTTCACATTGCAAATCCTTCTTGCTATGTTAGAATTATAATTGCGTTAAGTTTGTGGTTTCAGTTGATTCTCAGGTGTCCTAAGGCTGCTGAGGAATATTATCTCTGTTCTGAGATGAACTGAGACAACTCTTCCGTTGTCTCTTAGAAAAGCTTCCCTGTGATCTGATGGCAACACTCATGCTAATATGGTCCAGGGATATGGTTGGCCTTCTTCACAGCAAGGTCCTGCTGCTTGCCTACGTTCACCTTGTTGTCTACCAGGATCTTCTGGTCTTTCCTGCAGAACTGCTTCCTGGGCTCTTGTTCCATCCCAGAGGCAGGATTTTGCATTTGCCACTGCTGAGATGTGGCTCACGTGGTTCCTGTCAGCCGGTTTCTCCAGCCTGATGCAGTGCTTCTGAACAGCAGCTCTGCCTTCCAGCACAGACTGCTCCCCCAGTTTGGCATCCTCCACAAGGTAGCTGAGAGTGCACTCTCTGATAAACCTGATTCTTAATAAATGTGTTACACATTATTGGCCTCGATTTCAGTGCCTTAGGGAAATGTGCTACTAGTTTCCCTGCTGCGCTGAGCTGTAGGTCCATATTTTTATTAGTGCTCCTTTGGCCTCCACTTTGCTTATAGAAGTCTTCTTGCCCTTCACCTCTCCCACTGTTTCCAGCTGCCTCTAAGCATTGGCTTTCCTGACTTCATCCTTGAATTCTTGAGCATGACCGTATATTCCTCTTGTACACCCTATTCCTGTGCCTCTACCTTCTGTGCTTCCATGCTTCTACTTTCTGCATGCTTCCTGTTTTTCCCCCTTCCTCATTTGAGCAGAGTCATGGTTCCCTTGTTCATCCATGCAGTTGCCTGCAGGATCCTGCCCATCAGATTGGTAAGCAAGCTGAAATTTCTTCTGAGATCCAGAGCTGTGATTCCACTGCGTCCCTTGCTTACTTGTTGAGGATTTCAGACTGAAGAATATAATTTTTGCTGCAGCCTAGACTGTCCTCAACCTTCGTTCTTTCATGAGTATTCATTGTTTTTCATGAGGCTGAATGCTTGTCCTAGTCATCTCATTGATAATCTGCATCAGGAAATTGTCGTCAGGATCTTCATGTGATTATTCATGAGAAGGCTTTCATTTCATGAAATGTATAGCTCCAAATTACAGATTAAAGAAGTTTGAATAAGTCTGTGAAGCTACTGGGTAATTAGCCAGACCGAACTGTTTAAAGTTCTCCCACTCTTTATATTAATAGGAGCCACAATATTCCCATGCTGGCTATGAGGGGAAAAATCGATATCAGCAAATGTACATTCATATTGATTTATCTTCCCTTTTGGTTTTCTAATTTAGTAAAGGCTACTAATGCAGCATTACATAAAGATCCTCAGGAGAGTAAAAAGGCTAATAAGATCAGGTATTGCTGTTAGTTCTGTGGAAGTGAACTGACTTTACTGCTCATGTCAACGGCTGAGTTACCCAACGAAGAAGTAACTTAGCACCTGCTTTTGAGTCATGTATCAGTGGGCATTATTCCAGGCAAGTGGAC